TGGCACATGCCTGTAATCCCAGCACTTGGGAGGCTGACACAGGAGGATCATTGCCAGTTCAAGGCCTGCCTGAACTGCATAGTAAAACCCTGTCTCAAAAAGGCAAAAAAAAACCCCCAAAACAACAACAACAACAATAACAAAAACTATACACTGTGTTGGAAAATGTTCATAGTCTAATTCTCCAAAACTGTGAATGTTAGCCTACTTGGCGGTGGAATTAAGGTTACAGATGGGATTAGGCTGGGGATATAGCTCAGCGGCACTGTGCCTGCCTGGCAAGTGCAAGGTCATGAGTTTGATTCCTGGTACTGAAAAAAAAAAAGGTTGCTAATCAGTTGACTGTACAATAAGGAGATTATCCTGTATTACCTAGGAGAGCCTAATGTAAACCTAACAGTCCTTAAAATTGAGTCAAAGGAAGATGTGTCTGTGGAAGAAATGCTCAGAGAAGTACAACATTGCCTTCCAAGATGGAGAAAGGGCCACAAACCAAGGAAAGTAGGTGATTCTTAGAAGCTAGAAAGGCAAAAAATGAATTCATTCCTACAGCTCTTAGAACCAAATGCATCACTGCTGACACACTGGTTTTAGCTCAGTGAGACCCATGTTGGACTTGTGACTTACAAAACTATAAGATGTTCTTTTGTTTCAAGGCATTGAACTTCTAGAAATTTGTTACAGCACCAACACAAAATACATGCTGTCTGCAAGCGATCAAGGTGTCCTTATATGGATAGCTTTTTAAAAGTAAAGGGTGGAAAAAGAGGTAACATTAATAAAAAGAGCTGGTGAAGGACTCAGACAAAAATTTCAGAGAAATAAATACTACCAGAGATAAAGCGGATCATTTATAATGATAAAAGGATAAGTCCATCAAAGAACAGAACATTTCTAAATTTAATGTGCTCAATAACAGAGTTTTGAAATATTTGATACAGAACCTGCTAAAACTGAAAGAAAATGTAAGACAAACCTATAAATATAGTTAGACACTTCAGCACTTTTCTCTTGGTAATTCACAGAAAAAGAAGATAGCAACCAGTCAACCACCCAGAACACAGAATATCTAAACATCATCAAGTAACTAGATTGACACTTTTGGGACACTCTTCCTAACAATGGTGTACATATTCAAGTCTATATTTACCATTGTTGGGACCACAGAAAAGTCTGAAAAAATTTAAAAGGCATAAAAAACATCCTATTTATTCTATGATACAATGGAATAAAGCAAGACTCAACTACAGAATGGTGTCTAGAATATTTTCAAATGTTTGGAAATTAAACAAAATGATTCTCAGTAACAACCTATTGGTCAGAAAAAAAATCAGTAAGGCAATCAGAAAATATTTTTGAACTGGACTGAAAATAAAAACAAAGTAATCTAAATGAGATATAGCTATAGTAGTACTTAAAGTATTAAAATACATATATTAAAAAAGAAGAAAGATCTAAATGATTTAAAAGTCTATCTTAAAAAAACTAGAAAAAGCAAAATAAACAGAAGGAAATGATCACATTTGAAATCAGTGAAATAAAAAACAGAAAAATCATTGAAAATGGAAAATAGTTCTCTGTAATAAAACTGATGAACTATAGCCAGAATGATCGAGAAGAAAAAACAAACAGCCCAAAAAGAGGCTCAGCATTGTGGCACATAACTGTAATCCCATCGCTCTGGGAAACTAAGGCAGGAAGATCATATATTTGAACTCAATGACTCTCAGATGAAAGACGAAACTTCTCTATAGCACCTATATAAGTAAAATTGAATAACAATTATGAACAATTTTGTATCAATAATGTTATAGGGACTTCAGATGAAATGGATATATTCCTGTAAGGAGATAAAGAACCAAACATACTTAAGATGTAACAGCTGGAATAGGTGTATAACTACTAAAGAAATTTTACTTGTTTAAAAAAATGGCAAACAAAACTCTATCTCTGATGGTTTCACTGGGAAATTTTGTCAAACAGTTAAGGAAAAATTAATAATGATTATATACAAACTTTTGGAGAAAACAGAGGAGGAAACATTTCTTAGGTCATCTTATGAAGACAACAGACTGACACTAAAACATGGTAAGGTTATGCGAACAGAAAACTATATAAAAGCTGACATCAGTGTCTATCATGAACAAAAATAAAAAAATCTGTCTCAAAGTTTAGCAAATTGAATCCAGTAATATAGAAAGATAATGCAACATAACCAAGTGTGGAATGCAAGGCTGGTTCAACATTTGAATATCCTTCAATATAATCATTAACATTAACGTGATGGATTAACAAGTGAAAAAGGAAAAAATAAATGATCATGTCATTTGATGAAAAGCATTAGATACAGTTTAATACTCTTTCATGACAATATTCTTAGAAAAATAAAAATAAAGGAAATTTTTTCAACAGGATAAAAAGCATTGATGAAAAACCTAACATTATCCTGAATGGTTTTCCCCTAACATTGGTAGGAAAAAAATGTTTCCTATGCTCACTCACTTCTTTTTTTTCCACCTCTGGTCTTTTTGAGACAGGGTCTCACTATGCAGTTCAGGCTGGCCTTGGAACTCACTTTGTAGCCGAGGCTGGCCTCGAACTAGTGGTAATCCTCCTGCCTCAGCCTCCCAAGTGCTATTACTCACTTCTATTCAAGTATTGTTTTCCAGGTTCTAGCAAGTGTGTTCAGTCAAGAAAAAAAGACATACAGATCGGAAAGAATGAGGTAAAATTTCTTTATCGGCCAATAATCTCTGCAGAGTATTTTAAGAAATCTCCCAAGAGCTACTAAATTAATGAGTTTAGAAGTGTTGCAGGGCATAAATTCATTATACAAAACATTAAGTACTGTATTAAATAAGTCTAGAGGAAATTTAAAGATACCATTAACAATAGCATATACCTGTGGAATATTCATTTTATAAATAAAATATATATAACACTCAAATTCAGCACTATAAAGATGGTGTTGAGAAAAGTTAAGGAATTTCTAAATGAGTAGGGACAGATACAGTTTTTGGGAACTGAACACTAAATATTTTTGTATGTTCACTAGCCATACATTGAGCTAGAGATTCAACACAGTTCTAATAAAAATTCCCCTACTCTTTTTTTTGAAAATAAAATAAACTCATGTTGATTCTAAAATTTCTATAAAAAGGCAAAAGATTCAGAGTAGCCAAGATAAATTTTAAAAGAGAAAAACTACAGTAAAGAGCTATACTATTATATTTTAAGAGTTACTATAAAATTAAGACCTAAACTACTGGTATAAAGTAATCAGATAGGTAAAGGATATTCTTCAATAAAATGCATTAGAAATACCCATATGATAAAGAATTTAAGTCTTTACCTCACACTGTATATAAAAATTAAATTAACATGGATCATAGACTTTCATTTATTTTTTGTTTTTTTTTAGTTTTCTGAGATAAGGTCTTGCTCTGTAGTCCACGTTGGCCTTGAACTTACTATATAGCCCAGGAGTGCACCAGTATGCCCAGGTCAAAATGGGTGACAGATTTAAACATTAGAGTTAAGCTGTAAAACTTCTAGAAGGAAACACGAAAGAAACCTTCATGGCTTTGGGCTAAGCAAAGATTTCTTAGATTGTCCCCGAAATGTAAACTGTAACAATTAATTAAATTAAAAATTTCCCTCTTCAGAGGACACTGTCAGAAAAATACAAAGATGAGGGCTGAAACATAATTGCAAAACATGTAGTTGACAAGAGATTGTATCCAGAATGTATAGCAGCTCTTACAACTAGGCAACAAAATAAACAAACCCACTTAAAATATGAGTAAAAGATTTGAATACCTCATCAAGAAGAGACAAGAATGGCAAATAAGCATGACTAGATCATCAAATCAGTATTCATTAGTGGAGTGAAAATTAAAACCATGAAGAGATTTCATTCACATAGAGATGGACTACTAATAATAAAAAGACTAATAGCAAGTGTTAATGAAGGTAAGGAGCAACTGGAACCCTCCTACAGTGCTGGAACAAAATAGTATGGTCACGCTGGGGTTATGCTCTTTTCTTAAAATGTTAAAAGTACACTTAGCAACTGAATGAGGTGGTATTACCTGCAGTCTCAGCTAGTATGTACGCTGAAGCAGAAAGGTCACAAATTCAAGGCCAGTCTGAGAAACTTAGTAAGACCCACCTCAAAAAACGAAGGGCTGGGATGTAGTTCAGTTGCAGATCACTTGCTTAGTATGCACAAGGTCTTGGATTCAATTTCCAGTGTGGCAAACAAAACCAAAACCAAAAAAGCAAAAAAACCCAAACCAAGAAAACTTAGCATATAACCTGGAAGTCCTACTTCTAGGTGTTTACTCAAGAAAAACAACGAAGTTAAGTAAAGACTTCTACATGAACGTTCATAGTGGCCATATTCGAAACAGTGAAGTAATGGAGACAAACCCAATGTCATCCAGCTGGTGAATGGATAAACAAACTATGGTAATTCATACAATGGAATAATAATCAGCAATAGAAGGAAATAGAGTAACTGACTTGTAAAACAACATGAATAAATCTCAAAGGCATTATGTTTAATGAAAAGACCAAATACAAATAACTTCAACTCTTACAGGAAATTCTACAAGAGACATAGAGAAAGTAGAGACAAGGTAGTGAGAAGAAATTGATCTGAAGGGGCCACATGCAAGTTGTTTGCAGTAGTCACAGTGTTCTACATTGGTTGTGATCATGATTGTGCAACCATATGTCAGGGCTCACTAAACTGTTCCCTAAAAATTAGAGAATTTTATTGTATATAAATTACACTTCAATAAGTCTGGTTAAAAGTAAAACTGTGTCAACTTAAGAAAAAAATGCATTTCCCACTTGAAACGCCAGTCATAAAATAATCTTTCCATTTGGTTTATAATATCTTTCTTCTTTGTAGATCAGTCTCAATAAATACAAACAGTAAGAGATACAATCAGTCAAGTTTTCCCTATAGAAACAAAGGCCCCCATGATCCTTACCAAGACTCGTGAGTCCCTCTGACATAGAGGTGAGAACATACAGGAGCACAGCAGGCTCTAAATTGGCGATGAAGCTCATGTGGTCTTGGGTGAGACATTCCAGGAGAGGGTAATAAGACTGGCTCAACTTCCGATATTGCTGCAACACAAGTAAAGTACACCGAATGTTAAGCCACAGCGAAGAATAAGATGTGATAGTCTAGTGGAAATAAACATTCGTAATATTAGAGATTGCAAACTTACTTCAATACAAAATCAATAAATATATAAACAAATGCCATAATTCCCAGTTCAACATTTAAAGGGGTTCTAATAGGAACCTCTTGATCTCTAGAAACCTTAATTTGAAGCTACAGCATAATACATTATTTCAATTTTACCCTACATGGCTGACACCTGAATACATGTAAAATCTTTGCATCTACAAGATTTAATTATTTTTGTGAACTAGAACACTGTTACCAATGAAAAGTGCTTAAGAGTGGGTAGGTAGCTGCTTTTTTTTTTTTTTTTTAGACAGGGTGTCACTATGTAGTTCATGTTGGTCCTGAACTCACTATAGAGCCCAGGCTGACTATGAACTCATGGTGATCCTCCTGCCCCAGCCTCCCAAGTGCTGGGATTACAGGCGTGTGCCACCATGCCTGGCTGTATTTTATTTAATTAAAAAATCTGCAATGGTATAAGATTTGACACTATAGTCTGATAAATTTATACAATGCCAACCCATCTAACTAAATCGTTACTTGGTAATGGCTTAATATTTACTATTTACAGCTAAAAGATAAATGTATAAAAAAGATACCTGGAAAAAGATACAGGCAAAAGATAAATGTACAAAACCGATACCTGGAAAGTTTTAAATGCAAACCAAGCCAATATCAAGCATAAAACTTAGAAGCCAGAGTAGCATTTCTTAAAGTGAGATAACACTACCTCCACAAGAATCACTTGGGCTGCTTGTTAAAAATGCAATCGCCCCACGCCACACTGACTAAATGAAAAGCTCCGGAGCAAGGCCCCAAAATGTGCATTTTCAATATATATGCTAAACAGAGTCTTGTATACCCTTGGTTTTGAGAATTACTGAATTGGAGGTTTGCTTGACTATTAAAGGAGGGAGAAAAATTCTTGGAATGACATTAGTTTTCTTGGTGAACTTCAACTGTAGTGAAGAGTCCCTTTTATGAGGTGGCTGTAACATGTAGCTGATAAGACTCAAGTTTCTACTTTGTAATTTCTGTTACACAGGCAGAAGGAGGGTTAACAACTTTGGTCTGAGATGCCATTCTAGAAAGACTAGCTGAGAATGGGGAGGAAGAGGATACACTAGTCCATTAGAAGGTTGTGGAACACCCTCATACAGGCATCAACGAAGGCCCATCAGATCATACTTGCAACTTTGAGATGGGAGAAAATGGGAAAGTCGGAACTAACCTGGGGTTAAATTTGGCTAGATTACCCAATAATTACTGTAGCCACACTGGGCATACACTAGTTCATTATATGTAATTTGGGAGAGATGTTTCTAAAAAGTCTGATGACACAGGCCAGTCAAGGAGCTAGAAAATTTGAATTTCCAACAAGCACCTCAGATGATTCAGACGGGCTTCAAAGTTTCAAGACTACTAACATTGTAGAAACTACACAGTACAGTAGATAACTGATCTAGAGATCACTTAGTTTAACCCATTCATTATAAAGGTATGGCATAAAGAAATACCAAGGTCATTAGTTCAACTTAATGCTTACTAAGTGGCAGTCTACACATCAGGTTCAACTTTCAGTTTGCTACTGTATCCACCACACCAGAATTTTAATGGAAAATAAAATCAAATAGCAGGAAAAGTCAAGAGTAGAATGAAAGGAAAGAGAAAATACAGATAACACCTATTTCTTGCTTTAGGAAAAACAGGATTTTTTGAATCATGACTATTTGTGAGTAATTAGTTGAAACTGTTAATTACATTTCTTCCATATGCAGAACCTGGAGCACTGGATGACCAACTCATCATAGGTGGTAGCTCTGGCTTTTTAACCTGCACATTTAATTATATAAACACATCACAAATCTGGTAAGGTAAATCAAGTATGCTGTCTTACAATACAAAATATTCTGTGATATTCTAAATCCCTAGGCTTCATTATAACAATTCCAGGCCTGTGGTGGTGTTACTTCATGTTTCACACAAAGACTTCCAAGGTATATGAGTGCTTACTAGCAAGTCGCTGTGGGACACTGACAGCAGCATCTTGACAAAGGCCTGGAGTACATTGTCAAAATGGTTGTCCCTGTACAACTTGAAGACGCCAAAGCTGACATAATTTCCACATAAGGCAGATTTGAGAGCTGAATAGCAGATGGAGATGCCCTTGAGTTTCATTGGATAAATCTGATCTTTTGAGAGGCTCCCAAGGGACAGGATCTGATTACCTGTTTTAGGGCAAAAGCAGAAAGAGAAAGTGACATAAAGTAGATGTAATTTAAAGCAGTTATGAGCCACAGTATTTAACATTTTCAATTTAATTCAATTCCTTCCAGTATTGTTCCAAAAACTGAACCACCTACTGTAATGACAAAATATAAATATGTAAGGCATTTACCTGGGAAGAACAGAGGGCCCAAGGAAAATCAATCAAGGGTACTGGAAAAGTTCTACAGTTTCATCTGGATTGTGATTACATTGATATATACATAGATATGTGAAAAATCATTGAATACCACTCAAGAGTAGTTTACTTTTTGTACTTTAATTCAGATGTTCTTGCTTCAATAAAAAGTTTTTAAAAAGCAGGCTAAAATAACCAAGTAAGCCAGAGAAGAAGATAACCTAGGATGAAATTATTCTAGGTTCTGGGTAAATTTTCAACTTTCTTATAGGAACTTGATCTTGAGTAACTTTGTGTTCAGATAGGCGAGTTATATGATATAAAATTAAATATTACGTCCTTTTTCTCCTTGGATCTTTCTTCAGAAAACCTCAAAAGATGACTGCTTTAAAATATATACCTAAATTCTACGATGGCCATCAAAGAGAAGACAAAGAAATGAATATATGGGGGCTGGGAATTTAGCTCAGCAGCACAGCGCCTGCATGGCAAGCGCAAGGTCATGAGTTTGGTTCCTGGTACCGGAAAAATCCCCCCCCCCACAAAGAAATGTATATACAATAACTTTTAACATTTTCTGCAGTACTTAGCATTTACAATAATTTTTGTTTCTGAAATGTGTGCTACTAAGGTTTGTTAGGGAAAATCTAAGAATGGTTTTTGTGGAAAAAAAATCATTCTATTTCTTTGTTTTACCTTTTCCTGTTCAAGTGAGCACTGCTTTCAGAATTAAAATTAAATTCAATTTATAAAACTTAAGACAAATATTGTGGTTTGTTCTGTGCTAACCTGGTTGAACAAGAATTAAATTTTCCAGAACCCATTCCCTGTATGATTATGAGTAGAACTGGCCAAAAGAGAAATTTGTGTGAGATTTAAAGGTGGAAGTGAAATAGCTGCCATGACTTTCTGAAAGCTGGGATTAAAAGTGTTTTGTGAAGAAGCAGAAATGTTGCTGCTTCCAGTTTTTCCTTGGTTCTTCCCTGTTCTGTTCCAGAATTACCAGTCTTGCTGACCAGTGACTCTCAGTCCACCCCCAACCATTTGATGAATGAAGCAACAGCACTCTACTGACTTCTATCTTCTCACTGTCCATCCTTTCATGGTCCCAACTCCAGCAGTTAGATGCACCTAGCTTCTAGATTTCCCTGTAACCTAACCATGCCATTATTAGAGGAGGGCTGATCAGTGATTTTTTTTCTCCTGAACCTTTGGATCCATTTGCCCATCTTCACTCCAAATTGTAGAAGGTCTGACTTCTAAAATAATCTCTATTCCATAAATATCACATTGCTTCTTTTCCCTGTTTGAATCCTGCTTAATATACACATCATGGTTAAGCACATGTGTACTTAGAGGATTTGAAGGACGAGGACTCCAGAAGAGCATGAAACACTATTGAAAGTTTCCTTTCCCTCCTTCGCCTTATTAAAACACTTCCATACACTTCCTCTGTGGAGCCTTAGAATCCCATGTGACTTTGCTTGTAATATACACATCTGAAAATAAAACCACTGTCTAGAGCACTAGTATACTTGGAATTCACTCAATACCAAATTGTGTACTCTCTTTCATACTCTTATTCTAACTTACCTCACAGAGATAACAGCAGTTCCATAAAGATTTAATCCAGTATGACAGCTTTTATTCAACAGCTATTTTACATGAAGTGCTGGGAGATGAACAAATGAGTAAAAAAATCTCACTCTGAAGGAGTTTATTCTGACTGAAAGATTTGTAAATATTGTAAATAATTCCATACACTATGACAAATGCTACCAAGAGGTATGCAAAGACGGGAACAGATGAAAAGATTAACTTTGCTGGGGTAGGCTGTGTTTGGAGGAAGAGTTGCAGTTCCTGAGGTGGCCTTGCAGGGAAAGCATACACCGGGTAGATTAAGTGCAGACATTTGAGGGGCTGTCTAAGGAAGTAGGGTACTACCGAAGAGGGAAGCTCTCAACCACTGTTTCTTTTTCTTTTCTTTTTTTTAACCTTTGTCTCAAAATAAATTTAAAGCAAGGTAAACATTTTCCCTCTTTCCATTTTTCAAGAAAGAACAGCACTACGTACATGCGATAGAAAGAACCAGGGTAATTTGGAAGGGGGAGGTGGTTCACACAGTTTGTTGTGGTGGCCAGGGTCAAAAAGAGCAAACTTTGGGGGCCATTTTATACTGATGCCCTTATGGTGGAAGTAGAGATCCTATATTCTGGAGCAAAATATTTAATAGGCAGACTAAGAACTGTGATGGGAAACATTTTGATTGTAAAGGAATGAAAAACCTATTGTTAAAAAACATTATTTAGGATTATATTTGTTATCTCTATGTTAACGCTGCAATTTGGCATGCCTTACCTTTTGTCTTGCCATATATTAACAGATATGAATTAAAACAGTGATTAGTATGTTATTATGACTTTATAATAGTAGAATAATATGTTAAAAATGGGAAACCATATCTCGTTTTACTCAAATGCCTAGCAGTCCATGATGTCTATTAAAGACTGGGAAAGAGAAGGACTGGCTAAGTCATCAATTATTCACACCAATTCAGCTCTGTTCCATAGGTACTAGACCACCAAACTTTCTGAAATTAGACACCCTACCTTCAAAAAGTGTAAAATCTAGCAGGTAGATAGGATTTTCAAGGTTTCTATAGGTACAGTGACCTTCCTTCTGTTTCCCCATGGGGAATACATACATGAGGGATCAGTCTCAGCCAAAATGGAGGCAATTGCTCCACTTTTAAGGACAGTCACCTAGGTGGTCCTCCACATAGATCTTAATCATTTGGCTCATGAAAATATTTTGGTCATTATTAGCTTATATTAAGTGTTTGAGTTTTTGCTTCTTAACCCCTGTTCTCTCTCCTTTATCAAGATGCCTTTTGTTTCTGCTATTAGCTTCTACAACTCAGAAGTACCTTGCCAGACAACTCTGAAGATCTAGATTCAGAGAAGGATATATACAGAAAGATGTAAAATCTCTGTTTTTCTGAGATGAACTTTCAGCTTTATTTACTTTTAAAATACTCTTTGTCTTCCAAGACTACCTGTCTTCCCTGTGCTGACTGACTGCTAGATGTCCTCTTCTTTAAAGAGACTCCCGATAGCCAAAGGGGTAGGGCCTTAACTCACAGGTCTCAACTGAAGAACAAGATAATTTTCTAACTGAAGATAAACACATGCTAAATAAGGAAGTGATCAACAGTGTGGGCTTTTGAGTCATACTGACCTGGTTTTAATCCTAGCCCTTTCCTAGCCCCTTCTATACTACTTGGGTATCTGAGCAGATTATTCACCTCTGTAAGTCACTGTTTCTTTATCTACAAAGTGAGGATAATAACACCCATAACTCATCAGGCTCTTATGAGGCAGAAAGGAGATAGCGTTTGTAAACTGCTCACCCATGGTAACCAACACAGTGCTCAAGAAATGTCAACTATGACCATATCCAGTACTGGGGGTTCATTTTTTCTCCATAGACTTGGAGGAACTAAAACCCAGAAAAGCAGGGGAGATGAGCTGGGGGTGTGTTCAGAATAATGTCACTTCTCTTTCATGCCTTTCATGTACATAATTTTTCAACTACATTTACTCTGTTGAATAGAGATTAGGCAAGCGGCGGGGGTGTGTGTATGCTGTAGTTTGGTTGTTTACCCCACATCCTATCAGTTTTCCGTGCCTCCAAAGAGCACTTAGAAAAAAGGTGCAAGAGGTAAGATATACTACAGTAGCATCTTGCACCAGGTAGAACTAACAGTACTAACAATTTTGCTTCCTGGGTTAGGAAGCAATCTGTTCCGCTAATTTACCTTTTCTTTTCTATCTTTAATCTCTAAAATTCTAAAGTGAACTTGATATTTAGCTGACAGCTCTATAGGTTGAATGTCTTCATACAGCATCAGAATAATTATGGGAAAAGAACTGCAAGCTTGCTGACATTTCTTTACTTCAGGTCACTCAACCTGCCCTTGTCTTTCTGTAAGTCAGAAAAGGGCTAGACATAAATGGTTCGGGATAGAACAGAAGCTGTGAAGACTGGAAGAGAATAAAAGTTTCCCTTTCACACTACAAGATTGGAACAATGTAGGATTGACAAGGATGCAGAAAATTAAGCAAATTGTTGGGTGTATAAAATCAGTAGAATTATTTTAGAGGGCATTACTAATATTTATTAAAATACAAAAGATTGTAGCTCTCTTTCTGGGAATATGCTCTAGTTTTAAACACCCACTGTCACATCTATCTCTTCTACTGGCATCTGCACTCGCATACACTATTCCTTTCTGCCAAAGCCAATACTTTGTTCAACTAGTCCCATCTCTTACATGCTTAAAGCCAAAGCACCAAACATGTCCCCATTCTCTCTTATGCAATGGCTTTTTGGGGGTTACTTTTAGATAATCTTCATCAGAATGTAAGGCACGCTATCATCTCTTCCATGAAAAGGAAAAGGTAACAGACTTTTTCTTGGTCTACTTCCTCTGCTCAATATTGCTCCCTTTTGTTAAAAAATTCAAAAGCAAGTTGGTATTCACTGTCTTCACTTTTCATGCTTTTTTATGCCCACTCTAGTCACAGTGTTCTTTTCAAGGTTACGAACAACTGTCTCATTGCTCAATGGTACTCTCAGGCTTCATCTCGATTCACTGGCAGCTTTCGACACAGGTGACCACCTTGTTTGTCATGGTTTCCCCCTACTTCAGCGTTAGCTTTCTTAACTCTCCTATGTTGGTTCTTCCTCTTTTCCATTAACTCCTAATACTGGAGTATACCAGGGCTCAAACTCAAGTCTTCTTCTATACAGTATTCCCATTCA